TTTCTCACCGCTTCGCCTCCGCTTTCTCCTCTTCTTCTTTTTTTCCACCTCTTCTTCGAGGAGGAATCAGCTTCGCCCGTGTATCGCGGCAAGTAACGGCGCGCATCCTTGAAAGCCTGTTGACGGTGACTAGTTTCGGGGGTGAGATTTGTAAAAATAATGTTCCGCCGTTGACTGAGAACCGACGAAGATCGAGAAGCATCGCTGGAACGGCTGCGTAGTACGTAGTCGATATAAGTGAAACTTTAATAGATTTTGCTTTTATCACTTCCGTGTACGAATCTTACTTGTCGATAATTACCCGTAGGAACGACAATCGATCAAGTAGCTTGTACTCGGGTGAATTATATTTAATGGACAATTTCGTTTCAAAAAATGTCGTTTCGGAAATTTTCGACATCGAGCGACATTGTTTCGAATTGGCTCTAAAAGCCAGACGTCGGCGTTGCGTTAGGATTCCACAGGATTACCAGGAAAATGTGCACTGGTATTTTTGCGTATTTTTCCGTGGACAATCGATGATCGTAAAATTGCAGAAAAACTGACCTCGATGATCCCGGGATGGAAAACGAAAGTGAACTGGTTTCTCACCGAAATCCCACTCGCGAAAATGTGGCCATTCGTATGATCGGCCGTATCTGTGCATCCCCTGTAACGACCCGCAGAAACGTCTTTTAATATACACTATATCTTCGAAGGGCCCGGGGATTTCCCTTCGTTTGCCCGACTGAGAAAATACACAAGTTTCTTGTCTTAAATCCGTCATTACCCGCGTATTAACCTCGCTCACCTTTTTTTTCGTCACTTTTTCGTTCGTAATCGCTTGTATCTCTCTCTCTCTCTCTCTCTCTCTTCGAAATATTTTTATCCAATCTATTTTCTTTTACTTTTCTATTTTTTATTCATTCATTTAAAGATGCAGAGACCTTGTTAACTACCGTGGTGGTAAACTTATTTTAACCAATTGCAACGACCAAATAAAGATCGAACAACTAAAACTATTTTATCTGTGAAATTTTTTTCCTCTCGGCGGTTAACCGGTTGAAAAATAATATTCCTAGCGTTCGAAAGGCCGTATCGGAAATATTCTTCATAGGAAATCGATATTAGTGCCGATATAATGTTCTCAGGAACGAACGTGCTGTATATTTTGGTTATTCTTAGCCGAATCGCAAATGCAACAGAAAGGCAAAAAACATGGATCACCTATCCATCATATTTTTCGTTAAGAAAATTAGTTAGGATCGCCGTTTATTTTTAATGCCACTTATTTTAGCGATGAAAAATAGCAGGAGCGAGCAGCACGTTGATTCGACGTTAAGAAAACGTGTGCAGGCCACGGGATAGATCCTTCTCAGCTGATATTGCAGCAGATTAAATTAATTTCGTTCAATTAATTGGTAGTTAAGATGTTTAGCGTTAAGTGAAAGAGTTTAGTCCCTGTCTTCCACCCTTATCCCTCGATTCTATAGCGTTTCGCTTCTCTCTCTCTCTCTCTCTTTCTTTCTTTCTCGTCGTGCTTTCACATCCCCTGTTTATCTTTCCATTTTGTGTCGAGCCAACTTCCAGCCAGTCGATGAATTTGTAGAGTCATGTGTAAGTCGACTTTGAAAACTTCGAAACGAACAAACAGGGATATTAAACGATGATAGGGGAAAAAAGAAACAACTCCAACAACTTCGATTAACTCTTAATTTCATTTAAAAAAGAAAAACAGTAATTTTATACAAGATATTTTAAATTTATACAATACTTTGCCGATTCACGATAAATACAAGCGCGAAAAAATACATCCGCGAATTCCTACGGTAATTAAGTACACAAGATATTCATACTAATTGTTTGAATTTAATTAAACAAAATGTTCATGGTTTTAATTAAGCTATTGATGGTTTTTCGAGACGATGAAATGATCACAGATTGAACGAGATGGTTAAAAAATTAATGCGCAATTATAAATATTAAAGCGGAAAAGTTTGATCCTACGGTCCTCTAGCAGATACAATCGACGAATTTTTGCAAAATTGACAAAATCAATATAATTTGCGTTGTACGTTACTATTAATCGATAAATTCTCGTCATACGGTACGATAATTTCTACTATATCAACTTACGATACTACACGTTGCTCTATCGATACAAGTTTCGTCACGTTGTACTTGATCCTGAGTTAGTTCTCCGTGAAATAAAAAAAAGATACAAGATATACTAATTTATGAACAAATTCTCATTCATTATTGAGTAATTATTTCGCAGCTCGGATCTGATTAGGTCCGCCAACCTTTTCATTGCCTGAAAATCAAGAAAAGTCATTAGATTTATCGTATTATGGTAAGTTTGGTAACTCCGTCGATATCAGGTATTTCAGTCTGTGTTTAATTACAACTTACCAAGTCCATTTCTTCGTACGAAGCTTTGGCAAAACTAGCTCTGATAGCGTTGCATGGTTTGCTAGAATCCTTCATGAAGGCTGCACCAGGTACCATTATGATACCTTCTGTGACTCCTCGCTGCATAATCATTTTCCATGTGTCGTTAATACCGCGAACTTTGATCCAGAGGAAGAAGCCTCCCATAGGTAACACGAAGTCTGCCAAACCTATAAAGTAGGCAATAGAAATATTTCAATAGTTCCTGCTCATTTAAAAAAAAAAAAAAAAA